GAAAGTGCCAGGAATGGAATCCAGAACCCCTTATTAGGGGAGAGATTCTGTCTCCAGAGTCAGGTAGTATAGGATGGAGACAGCATGATTATAGTCCATTTTGAAAAGTTTTAGTTGGGAATGAAAATTCCATCTTTTAACATCTTTTCAATTTTTTCATCTACAGTACTGAATCCTCTGCTAAGCTAGTTTCTTGGTTTGTCTCCCCAAAACTAGGAGGACTCTCTCTAATTTATAGCATAATGTCAGAAGGAACTGCAGTGGCATCTGACCCCTTTTCTTTTGGATTTGCACAGAAAAAGGGAGACATCCAAAATGCTGCATGAAAAAAAAAAAACAGAATTGAGTGCTTTTTTCCCCAGCAGAGCACCCTTATCACCAGAATTTCAGTTACATCAAAAGGGACATATTTTTCTCCTCTCTCCCTACTCTGCAGTGAAGCTCTGCCACTGTATAGAAAGAAATATAGGGGAGAAGATAGAACCATTCTGTAAGTGATTCTAGAATCAGTAGGATATTCACACGGGGAATGAATAAAACAGCCACTTCTTTTTGCTCACTTCTCTTTGGGATGGAGAACCAGACTCTCACTATTCTGCTTATGCTCCATTCTCACAACTGGTGCAGGAAAGATGATATCCCAGCAGGCAGAATTCAGGGAGCAGAAAAGAGATTGAAATTTGAATCCAGGTGTGGATTCATCAGGGAAATCAATGTTTTTGACTCTTCTGTTTTTGCACATGGATGATCTGATGCGGTTCATCTTTCAGCTTTCCACTTTGCCCTCCTTCAGCTCGAGGCTATCGCTCACCCACACCATGTTCTCGGAAACTAAGACCATTACATGAGGGATAAGGAGGAGGTTCTGCTGCCTGCATTTGCTTCTGCAAGGGCAGTGGTTATAGCAACTGGATACGAGCTAAAATAGTTAATCTTGTACAGTCTGGACATACAGCACCAGGCACACTGACAGTTTCCTTTGGAAAGTAGACATCTCCTGATCAGTCACCATGTAGGACTTACCATGATAACAGATTTGAACAGAGTCATAAAAATTTGCTTTACATCCTCTTTCAAGTACCTTAAGTCCTATTTTAGATCTGGCCCTAGGCAACTAGAAGGAACTTTCTGCAGAACTAGCATTCAGTTCATGTCTTCAGTGTTTGGTTTTGACAACAAAGTGCTTTACTTTTCTTATCTTTGAAGATGTCTCCTGATACTTTTGTGTCTGAGTTTTTCTGACCACTGCTATTAAATGCTGTGTAATGAAAGGCTTGAAATTGGAGGAAATTTAACCTAGGAATATTTTCACTGTTATCCTTATTTTTAAACTGATATCACAGCCTCAGAGTATAAGAAAATAATTAAAACTTAACTTCTTTTTTGAATAAACCCTACAGAGGAGCTAATGTTAAGCACAGATAACAGAAAATCTAAGTAAAGGCCAGGACTTAACACCTCATTCATTAAAATCTCTGAAATGCTTCAAATTTAAAGCAGAGGAGTCTCCTTTTCACCATAATTATGTGAAAGAACAGAACAAAACAGAGTTAAATGAGGCAAATATATAAATAAGAGAGCCTAGAGTTTGTGGTAGCATTACTTACTATCTTAATTATATATTTCCTTCAAATGTTTCTTTTTTCCCTCCCCGGGACAGATGGAATAAATTAATCTTAAATGCAGCATAAAATCTATTCCAGTCCCTCTCATATGCCAGTGTTTAAACATAACTAACTAGAATAATAAAAGTCAGAGATGGAAAAGATCTATTAGCTGGCCACCTAAAATTTTACATATAGAAATGTATCAATTTAACTAAATCTATTTCTAAATATTTAAGGAGGTTTGGTTACATCTTAAATCCACTCAACAGTGGCTAGAGTCAATTTATTTCATTTTGAAATCCCACTTAAAAGCAAATGGAAGTGACCTGCATTTAAGCACAGTTGCAGTAACTAAATGAATGCATGTGTGTAGACTAAGAATCAGAGAGACAGCAAGATTTGTCCAGTACTAGTAACACAGACTGCCGATACCTCCTTTGTGGGGACTCAGGGTCCTCCATGACCATTGCAGTTGATGGAGAATAAATATTTACCCAAAACAGAGACCCAAGCTGGGAATCAAGATATACTGAATTGTTGTCTCAGTTTTGCTTCTCTCTAGCCTTAAACGAATCTCTTAATGAAACACTGTCTGAAAACACGTTAATGCCTCTTACCTGGATATGATGATTCAGATATTAGCAAGCTGAGAACCAGCTCATGTCATGTTTACTTTCACAGCCATGCACATAATTTTGGTCCTAGTCCTAAAAGAAATTGTATGCATTTAATTTTGTGAGTAAATTGGTTTGGATAGCAGTCTACCAGTCACAAAGGGTAGAAGAGTTTGTTTCCATATGTCCTGAACTACTATGTAGGTACCTGTACAGGACTGTTCTGTATGAGCACTTTATATACCATTTTGTCCAAACTAGCTTTGAGCAACTTGCTGAGGGAAAGATGGAAGAGGGATTGTAATGAAAGGGGATTATTCCATACCTAAAGCCTTACATTTATGGGAATGTTTATGCCAACATAGCCAAATATTCAAAACAGATTAGATACCAACTTTCCTGTCTAATGATTTTTTCCTAAATCTTGATGAATAGTAGAGACCGAAAGTTTCTTCCAAAGATCACTGGAGACACACAGTGGCCTGACCTGTGATGCTGGGAGGCTGCAGGACTGTACATGAGCCCAGTGCCTCTCCATGTTAGAGCAATGGGAATTCACCAGTTTCATACCAAGCAGTTCTGGGTTTGGTGCCCACTAACAACACCTTGACAGTTCTTCCCAAGATGTTCTCCTTTCACTTGATTTCACAATGGTCCTACCCACAACCAGATTATTTTAGAGAAGCAGGACCATGTGCTATTAGAGACAACAATGGCATAAATAACATCCAGTGTGAGCCTGTTAAACAATGTTAGATGTTACTGTTAATTTGTCCTATTATGTACAGCTTGATAGACCTTGGCAAGCATGAATGTGTCTTAAAATGAAGGACATCGATGCCATGCAATATACACATAGCTTAAAAAAACACTGGCGGCAATTTAAACGAGCGTAGCACTTCTTATATCAATGTAAGATTGTCTTGTGAAGTCTATTTTTATATTCTGGTCCATTTTATGTCTCAGATGTTTAGATTTTCACTATTTTTTTTCTTTCTTGTAAGGCACAAAAAGTAAAAGGTAGAAGAAAATAATCTTTTAAACAAAAACCAACTATTTTTCATTTATGATCGCTTTCTGCATGTGGCCATTTTCTGCAACTGATAGAAATATGGTAGTCATTACAGATTTTTTAGGAGAAAGTTGCAATTCATCAAAGCTGACACAAAACATTAATGGAAGAGATTTCCCAGTTCTGAGGCAGATTTATTTATTTGAATTGTCCCACAATATCTGGATTGTGGGAAACACAGAACACCACCTCCCAGTTTTGTGCTTAAACCTGATTCAGAAGAGACATGAGGCTGAGAGCACTGGGGTTGTTCAGCCTGGAGAAGGCTCCAAGGAGACCTTACAGCAGCCTTCCAGTACTTAAGGGGGGCTATAGGAAAGATGGGGAAGGACTGTTTATCAGGGAGTGTAGCGATAGGACAAGGGGTAACTGCTTTAAACTGAAAGAGGGTAGATTCAGATTAGATAGAAGGAAGAAATTCTTCACTGTGAAAGTGGTGAGACACTGGCACAGGTTGCCCAGAGAAGCTGTGGCTGCCCCCTCCCTGGCAGTGTTTAAGACCAGGTTGGACAGGGCTTTGAGCAACCTGGGCTAGTGGAAGGTGTCCCTGCGCATGGCAGGGGTTGGAACTGGATGATCTTTAAGGTCACTTCCAGACCAAACCATTCCATGATTCTATGAGTGCTGGTCTTGCAGCACAAGCTAACAGATCAGTTCTGCCCCTCCTCTTGTAATCTGCTACAGTCTGAATGGCAAGTGAATTAAGCGAAGATGGGGGTTTTTTTGGCTGAGTGAGATCTTGGTTCACACCTACATGGGTGAATATTTGTATTTATTTTAAATGGAGAAACAGCCAGGCATGCATGACATGCACAGAATACAGGAGCTCAACTTTTCCCTGGGCTCTCATGTTATTGAATGTGACTGCCCTGCTACCGGTAGGTTTTCCTACATCAGCATTTCTTCACAGGCAGCATTCAAAATGCTCCTTTTGCCTCACATCATTTTTTGTCATCATTACAGAAATTCTCACAGGGTTGGAAAACCATCCCCTGCTCAGTTCTGTGTGTAATTTCAAAGTGATTGTATTCGATGTAATGAGCACATGCCAGGCAGCACTAAGGGAGACTGGAGAAAGCTCAATACAGCGAAAGATTTCAAATAAAAGGCTGTTAACAGCAGATACTCCAAAACCAGATGGCTAGTAAGGACGTCCATCCAACAAGGCTCTCTGAACTTTCACTGGATATGGGGCGCTGCACCTTTCAGCCCTTCTTCCAACTGGAAAAACAAAAGTGATACAATGAAGGTGCCGAAGTAGTTTCTAAAATAGGAGCCCCTTTAGGCACGGTGGACCGCCGGCAGGCGCGGATAAAAGGTTTTCTCTGCGGGACGAAGGGTTTTGGAGGGGAGCAGATGAGGCAGGCGGTCCCCTTCCCCTCCAAGCGGGGTCCCCGCGGCAGGCGGGAGAGGGGAAGGGGGGCCCGGCGCCC